TGTCGAATCTGAATCACTTGAAAAAAACACGGGGGTGCTTAACTTTTTTCCAGGTGTATATAACCATATTCATTAGAAAACTAAAATATTATATAACTTTTTTACTTTTGAAAGAAACATTTAATTTTTATATTGTAGAATTCTCAGATGGAGCTTGAAAGATTTATATAAAATTAAATTTACTCAATCTCTATTCTCATACCATTTTTTTATTTTCTCTCTTTTTCTTCACAGATTTTTACTACAAGTTACCATGTTCAGTGTTATACAACCACTATTAACAGAGAAAAACATTTAAATATTCTACTTCAACTACTAAAGGTCATTTGGACAATCTTTTCTATGCTACATTTAAATTATTATCCAAAGTGTTTGACAATCTCATTTAGAAATATTAACCTGTTAAAATTTATCTTCTTAGTGAAAATTCAAATTTATCATGGTGCTTGTCTTATAATAAAAAAGTAGGAAAACATACCTATGGATTCACAGAATAACTAAGTTTATTGATCTACAAAGAAGCAAGTTTTCCATGCAGATGTTTTCCAAATACAGCCAATACATTGATCAACAATTTGTACTTAAAGTTAAACTTACAGCTATATTTTCCTTAAAAACTAGTACTTACAATTATGGCCCCAAAGTTTGGAGAGTTAACAGTTAATCACTAACATGATAACAATGATGAGGATGAAAAACACTCAATTGCTTTAGTACAAGAATGTCATAAAACTGGTAATCTATAATGAACTGAGAAAAATCAACAGTTTTTAATTTACTGTGTTTCATTAATAGCAGGGTATTTTATGCCAATAATATTAATGGAACAGCAAAAGATTAATGCAATTTATACATTTATCACCCTACAAAATTCTTTTATGACAAATTATAAAACACTAAATCAACTTATAGGATACACTCTAAAATGTATTTTCTACACACTAACTAACAGACAGTTTCGGCATACTCATAATATGACCTCTACTACCATACTGTCCAAAATACATTGCACTTGCTGTTCAGGATTAATTATTTAAATAAAAAATACACATTAACATACCTTTAAGCCTTTCTTGGAAACGTTTTGAACTTAAAAATACTTTATGATACTGTAGAAGTGGTTCCATTTGTAAGTGGTTTGATAAAACCAGGAACTAATGTTACTTCAGCTGTTTACTTATTTCATAAAGACTCTTTTCATACTAGAAGGTGACTATGTTCAGTGTATTTACAAATTTCTTTTTAATAGAAGAACTTAAAAATTCATATATTTCAGTAAGTATGAGAATGTATAAATATTTAGCTAGTAATTATAACACAGGCTAGTCAGTAAATGATGGAGAAATACTAACAGAAAAATTAAGCAAAGATGAGAATGGCAAGACATACCTACTAAATCATTTAGTTTCAGAAAATGTAAGTTATAAAAAAGTGAAAAATAATGTATCTGAAACATGTTAAGTCACTGAAATTTGTCACTATTTAAAAAATACTAAATGACACCTAAAAATTGTATTTACAATAACAGCATCTTACTTCAAGTTTCTTCTTAGTTCATTTGATTTCAAAAAAACTTACAAGGTTAAAACTAAGAACACCAGTTCTTGTTTCAAGTACTATAAAGACTACTAACATTTTTTATATAAACTGCAAAATACCTGTTTATTTGAATAAAACTTATAATCTGATAAAAACAAGGAACATTCCTACAAAATGCACAACCCACTTGTGAGATTAGACACAGGTACTTAAATAAACAGTTTACTCTTTATCATGCCATATTATTAATATTTCAAAATAATTTGAATAACAGTGCTTAAAGTTCATATCTGAGCATGAACTCTGCAAACTTACATTTTTCCATACGAGACATTTTTGCACAAGTATTTTATACTCGACCTAATTCTAAAAGACGAGTATATAGCTTACTACCATACCAGTCTTTCAACTTTCATAATTATACTTAATCTAATTCATAATATGTATAAATAATATGAATCTAACAGCTATTTAAATGTCATAGGTAAGGGAGTCTGTAAACAGTAATTATCAAATGTGCAAATACAAGTAAGGATGTTTCCAGTTTGTTTGTTTTTCTATTTGAAAAACTTAAATCTTCATGTGAATTTATTCTACACAGAATAGTAAGTTTAATGCTAGACACCTGAGATCTATAAAGTTAAATACAGATAAATGGCTTTTTTTCAGAAGTTGATAAATCAAGAACACACAAAATACCATGTTCAATCAATTTACACAGATGCGTGATTATATTCACTTCATATATATATATATATATATA